TTGAAGATAATTTTTCATCCGGTGGAAAATTTGAAGTGATAGAGTATTATAGGGTTGAATCAGGCAAATATTTTTTATGTTAATCATATTTATTTACAGATTCTATGTACATTATATTTCAATATTGAATAGTAACTTACACTAGAAATTAAGCTTAAAATTAGCCATCACCCACCTTTAAAGTAATTAAATTATACTGTAGTTCTGTATAGGCTCTTTTTTGCCCCACTCCTTTTTAATAAACCTATAGAGGTTTAAGCAATATTTTTCGAAATGTTGCCTACGTGTGGAGGGCTCCTCATATTTTTACTTTTTCCCCAAATTAAATTGTTCCAATTAGATGGGTGAGGAAAACCTAGCGTTGCTCTATTGAACCTTCAACGCTAGAGGGCAAATGCGTTATATATCACGTATCACGTATTTCTTAATTTTTACTACTTACATTATTGAATGGATGCGTTAAATCAAAACTCAATGAAGAACAACGGCAAGAGAAAAAGAAGAAGAATCTGAAAAAGCTAAAATATGTTATGATAGTTTTTAAGAAATCATTGAAAAAGTTTTTTTATTAATTTAAAAGTGATATATCTGAACACGATCAAGTCCTAAAAATAATTGATGAGCTTTTGATTCAGAACCCTGACATATATACTCTGTGAAATATTAGAAGAACTATTTAATTAAATACGCATAATCTGTAAGGACATTAAAATATTAAATTAACTACTTTGAAATAATTTATTATTTTGAATTATCATTCATAGTAATATAATTTTAATAACTGTTTATTATATAATATTTATTACTAAAATATTAGCATATTTATATGCCTTTTAAAAAATTTAATAAAGTCTAACCTCTGAAGAATCTATAGAAATTTACAAAACAGAGAATATGCTCATTGAAGCCTCCCTGGCTTCTAACCCCTAAATCATATTCATGTTGGCACCATAGAGCTTGGGTTACCCTTATGCCTAATGCTGATTGGAATGAACTAGATCTATGCTCCAAATTTTTGAATTATGACCAAAGAAATTGTAATAATCCTTGTTTTTTAGATATTAAAATATAGAAAGTTAGGAAAAGTAAAATGGAATAAAATTATATTTATTACTGGAAACTATTGCCTGTTTAATATGGCAATCAATTTATTTAATCTTAGTGTATTTAAAAATAACTCAAAAGTTCATTACCAAATTTCAGAAAATAGGATATATATTTTACACATTTTGAAATAGCTATTTTAGGATACATAAAATATCTGCTATAAATAATACATACTTTTAAACATTATACACATTGCCACTAATATACATGAAAAGTTTGCTATATTAATACCATTTGACCTTAACTTCTATGTACATATAAATTTCAGTTAGGCATATGAAAGATGCTTTCTTTTCCAAAATGCTTTTATTATTATTACTTTAACCCATCACCCTTGAAGTGAGGGGAAGTATGAATTTCTCATCAAAGCAGATTTCAATATCTGCAAATTCCTTTTTAAACTTTGTAAAGTTTTATTATATATGAGAGACCTGCAGAGGTACCATTTGCATGACTTGCCCCAAATTTTTTTTGTGAACTTCCAGTTCCTGGTCAGGCTTCGCCAAGATTTATAGCTAATAATCGTGATTTAAAATCAGAGATGTAAAGTAGCGCGCTAATTTTTTTTGGTAGCTATAGCTAATAGTGGCTAAATTTTTCTACTTTTTGTAGAAAGTAGCTAAGTAGCCGCTACTTAGCTACTTTTAAAAATATAATGAAGGTAAGTATAAACATGAAAATTTAAATATAATATAATTAATATTTTTATTTAATTTTGAAATTGAAATATATTTTTAATTTGTAATTTATATTTTCATTTGTACTATAAACCTAAATCACGTGTTAATAATTAAAAATGTCATCGATTATGGATATCCAAATCGTTGAAAGTGATTCAGAAAATGATATTAATGAAATGGAAGATACCAGGGAAGGAAATGTTCTTAATAGCTATACTACAAATTTCCCATTCCCTAGATTTATAAATTTTTTAAAATATATAATCCAAAACTGGCTTCAAATTTATTTACTTAAAATGTAAAAAAAATATTTCCTCAAATCAATCCAGTAGCTATAACCTCAAGAAAAACATAAAGGTAAGTCATTTTTACAATATTTATTTTATAAGACTCTTCCAGAGTTTTAAGGAAATGGAGAAACATCTAAATAATTTTGGTATAGGTGACTACATCCAAAAAGGCTAATTTAATTCAAACCATATTTAATAATGCAAATGACAATATTCCTCAGATATTGGCTGATAAAGTTATTGTTGATTTTATAATTTATACGGTTCAGCCAATGTCCTTGGTTGATAATCCATCATTTACCATAATGATTAAAACTCTCTCCCCTGGTACAACAATTTTATGCTGCCATACACTAATGAATAATAAGCATGAATAATAAGCAGATAACTTTAAAATGATGAAAGATGCTCTAATAGTAGTTATCAGAGATATCATATATATGTACCACAGCAGATAGTTGGACACATAACATAAGGTAAAAACTTATTTATATTTATAAATTGATCTGATTAAATATTTTTGAGCTTATTTGGGAATCACAGGCCATTAGCTAGACCCTAAGACTTTAAAAAGAAGATCTGTGGCATTAGCCCACAAAATGATAATAGGATACCAGACATATGATATACTTGCAAATAAAATTATTGATAATCTATCTTATATTAAAAATATGTATATAAGATTAAATACGCCCTTACCCTCAAGTGCTAGTGTCAAGAGATTATATAGTGAGTCAAAACTTATACTTTCTGATCGTCGTTCTAGACTTGGGGATGATAATATTGAAATGATTTCATTATTAAAATGCATCAAATTACCATAAATATCTATTTTTATTACATATTTTAATATTTATAAATGTTGATTTTTATATATTCACTATACAATAACATTATAAGCAAATAATAAAAAATTTGTTTGTAAATTTTTTTTATAAAAAGTAGCTATTAGCGACCTACTTTTTTGACAAATAGCGATAGCAGTAGTTGCGGTACTTTTTTTGATAAATGGCAATAGCGGTAGCACGGTACTTTTAAAAGTAGCGTTTAACAACTCTGTTTAAAATATATGGCCCGATCTGGATGTTTTTTAAAAAAAAACGTTTTTAGGCCTGGCCTGGGTATTTAAAAAAAGGCCCAAGTATTTTATCTAAAAAAATTATAATACGGCATGACCTGTATTCTTACTTTCTTTCCTGCAGGTCTCTGATATGTGTCATATTATACGGGCATATAACTTGCCCCTAATACAAAAAAAAAATTCTTTCATCTTTTAAATTCTTGGGGATAAGGTTGATGCTGATCTTTCCGTATTGCTTGGATGCCTTGAAACTCAAGCTAGGTTTTTTTATAAAATGTGAATCAAAAGTGAGATTTAATTCTCATATTCCGTTTTCAAATGTAACACTAAAAATATGACCAGTATAAATCAGATATTACAATCAATGTTTGGGACCAGATTCTTGAACCATTTAACATTAACCGGAACCCATTTTTTTCTAAGAACTGGGGTTTCTGACAAAAGTTCGAGTAATTTTATACGTTGTTGATTTTAAAATGTTATTAGATTTATTTTGATTACTTTAGCAGAACCTTGGAACCAGAAACCCTCGAAATCACATCTAATTTACACACTTTTCAATTAGGAACTGGAATTAGAATCACTATTCAGAATCTAATATAAAACTCTTTTTAGTCTAGATTATCAAACTCTGGTTGCAGCCCATTGTATGATTTTACAATTGATAAATTGGCCTAATTTAAAATTTCATTTAAACAAATAACTTTCCAAAATTATTATATAAACATCTCATTTGTAATATTATATTTTTTTATAGCTATCCCACCTCAATTAGAGATTCAAAATTTGAATAAAATAATATTTATGCTGTAGAGTTTAGAGAATTTGATTAACAGAACTCTATATGCACATAACTTTTGGCTCCATGTTTAAAAAAGTAATTGAATCTTTTGGCACAAGCGACGGTTTCTTAAATGAAACTACTGATTTTAGATTATCTTACCCAATAATAACATCTATTGTTTTTTGTGAGATTAGAAATATTACTCTTGGTAGATTGAAATTTAAATATCGCCATAATAGCCCGACAGGAAAATATGAGAAATCGATAATATCCAAACCAAATAACGCATAAATATTTCACCAATAAATATATTTAAAAAAAATTATTTCATGTTTTTCAAACCGGTTTTAGTATGGAGAAAGTTATTAATACACATCATTTCTCAAATTTAAATGATTTAAAAATATCACTTTTATAAATATTAGTGTTGTTAAAAACCCCGATTTGGATCTATTTTTCAAAAGGGTCCGATTAAGATTTCAGTTTGAATCGGCAAATAGATGTCCAAGCATTTCAGCCTGCTATGAGCAAAATTTTAAGGCTTACATCATGTTATTTTGGTTATATTTTAAAATTGGGCTTTTTATCGGTTAATGATGTCTACTACCTATCAAATTTGTATTTTGTTTATTTTTCATTTGGATAGGCACAACCAAATATATTTATAATATATATGTGAAAAATCGTGATTTTTGAAAAGCCTCTGTGGCCTAGTCGGCAAGAGCTTTGCTTACTTATCCCATATTCATGGGTTAGAATCCCGAGAATGGTCATATTTCTTAATCTAACTTGGTGGTTCCATCCTTGGGGGGATGATATATAGGAGGCCGGACTCGATCACGTGATTCCGTTATAATATATTAAATAATAAGGATCTTATTACATTTTAATAAATTTTGGTCGGTATTTAGCAAATTAGGTTGGTATTTAGAATATTTCCATACATTCACTTGGTAGTAAACATTATTAACCCTTTTTATCATCACTAAATTAAGATCACAATTGTAGTGGTGGTGACTGTAAAACATTTTTTTCAAAAAAAAAAGAAAAGATTTTCAAAATAAAAATAATCACAAGGTCACCTTAAAAATTGGGGCAAGCATGATATAATGGTAGATTTGAATTGTATGAATTATAAATAAAATTTAATATAAATATAACAATTTGGGATATATATATATAATTTTATAAATATGTTATCAAAAAAAATTTGTTGAGGTATTTTGAAATATGAATAATTTACAAAGAATAAATGTTAACGCAAGAAGATGGAAGACGGAAACCTGGTAACATAGGTTAATACGTTATAATGAGATGGCATATCAAATTTTTTGGCAAGCATCTTCCTACCCCTAGGATCACATATCTATATACAAGAATAGGCAATATACGGTTAGTCGAATAAAAAGGTAAACTGATTGGTGTCGAGAAAATAGCCTAAAATAATTTAACGAATAGGATTAGGGCAAATAAGTTTTCAAACGATTTCTTGTATAACGAAAAACTCATCGTCGGAATTATCAATCACGATTAGATTATTATTCATGTTTTCCTCTTCGTTATCACTTTCGGGTGTAAAATCTAAATTATTAGCAGACGAGGCCATAGACGGGATTGTCCATCTTGGCTCTATTGAACCCCACGAGGTGTTTAGGAATAAGTCACCGATGATTGAGAGAAAGGTTTGGTGTAAGCGGTTCCGCTTAGATTTGTTGGTATCGATCGATTGTTTGGACGATCTATAACTTTGATATAAAAGGGATTCCGCCAATGGTATATTTTCTGAGATTTGCGTGTGCACGGCATACGAAAGTTCACCTTTTTTATAAAATATTTAACGTATAAATAAAATATAATTTAATAAATGATGTAAGCCTTGAATATTATGAAATTTGAATCAAGTGAACTTTTAAGAGACAAATCATTAATCGCTATGTAATGGAAAAAAAAGATGTAAAGGTGACATTTAAGAACTTGTTTTACTACACTGTAATTTATCGCCACTTCTTTTTCCTATTATTCAATATCAATAAAATATAAAATAAATAAAATGTTCCCAAAGTTTGAGAGATTTGAAATATATAATAAAATCTAGGAGTGATTTAGAGGAATATAATTGTAATAAATACGCCTTTTAACTTCCACTTTATTATATATAAAATGTGTATTTCTTTAAAAAAAATTGAATAATCCTTACTTATGTGCATTTCTTAAAAAAAAATTGATTGGTATAAGATAGATAGATGATGGAAGGATAGTGACAGAATAATGAGGGTTTTAAAATAATGAATTTTTATAAAAAATGATATTAAAATGCAGAAAACAGTATCAATTCAATTATTGTCAGTGTCCACTAACTATTTTTCTCAGAGCTTCTAGTGCATGATAGATAATATATTATAACTTAGTGTAGTTATAAAAGGCTTGATTAGAGTCGATTTTTAAAAAACGGTTAACTCAATATTTTAGCCAGAAATATATTGCCTAAGCCAAGCCTCAGATTTAGCTAATAGATGTCAAAACCTTTGCGTCATTTATGAGCAAATTCTTTATGCTTCGAGTGATATCTTTCTGGATAAAATATTGAGCTAGCCGTTTATAAAATCAGCTCAAAACGAGCCTATTGTTTTTTATTGAAAAAAAAATGTATATATACTGCTAGTCACAAAATTCTTATAAAATTTAGGCAGAATAATTCATAAAAGTCAGAAAATCTCAGATCTTGGAACACGGGTTCTGGTTCCTGTTTATGAATTTTTTTCCCTTTAAAGTTGTTCCCATTTTTGGGTTCCTATAATTTCGATAACGTAGGCCCTAGGTTTCCGCTTCCTAAATTTTTGACGCGGAAAGAAAGAAAATGTTTATATGAATTGACTTGCGCTACCTAAATTCAGAAACTGTTTTCCTTAAAATTTTTTTAAAAATGGGTTTTTTGTTTACTCCTAAAAATGAGGACTCATGTTCCTCGATCTGTTCCCGTTTCCACATTCTGCGAATATAACTATATCTTTTTTAAAACACTTTTTACCTGAATACGCGAATTTTTGTATACATATGATAGGTTCTTATGAAGTGAGCCTATCAGATTTTGTCAGGTTTTTAATTGTGAGGATTAAATTTGATTAAAATCCAATCTAAATCCTGACCCCTGACCTCATTAATTAACCTTAACTCATATATCCTTCTTACTTTTAATCATTTAATTTTAATTCAGATACCTGTTTAATTTTAAATATATTTCAAATTAAAAAATTTCTCTCAGTTGAACATTCCGGGTAATTTGTATTTTGATATTTACAAGACCATTTATATTTTGTAAGCTTTCATCTCGTTATTATTTAAATTTATTAAGAAAAAAAAATAGTTTTTTTAAAATTATAAAAACGCCATCTTGCGGATAAGATTTTATGATTTGCTATTTTGGTGAATAAAAATAATTTATGAAAATGGTTTATTTTATGTTGTAGTATTGAGACTAACATATCTCGCGAACGGTATCTACCGTGGGAGAAGGGGACGGATCGGCATTTTGAATTCGTGGGACCGGGATTTAAATCTAAGAAAGTGAGGATCTGACGTTGGGACCTGTTTTTAGACTGTTGTCATCATCCAGAAAGTAATTTTAGTAATATTAACTTTATTGTTAAAATAATTACAATTTACAATAATATAATTACAACTACGTACAACAAATTTTCATAAAAGAAATGTATTTTAAATTTTATCAAACAAAAAAATATAATGCTCCAGAAAAAGGTATTTTTTCCAACCTTTATAATTTTTGAAACAAAGAGAAAATAAAAGAGTTTGTTATTTAATCGCGATACAATCTTTCTTGAACTAGTTTTAAAATACAATCATAAAAATATGGTATAATATCATGATTTCATTAGCATAAATATAATAGGAAGATGGGCAAAACTAAATATGAATACATCAGTGGAGAACAAACGTAAAGATAATGGTAAATAAGTTATACGGGATGAGTGGGGAGATAGATACATAACATTTTATATAATGGTAGTTAGAGTCATAGTAAATATCTTATACATAAATATTTTTATAGTAGTAACATGCCACAGACCTTTATCTTAACATTATAAAAACTATATTTAATTATTTTAAGAAAGTGAGAACCTTTAAAGCATAGTATTTAGATAAATGATATAAGTATTAAAGAAGAATAATTTGTAATATTATTTACTTCTAAGGGAATTAATGCTTCTATTGCTTCGAAAAACATATTTGATAACTGATTTCAATAATCTTATTTTATTTTTCATGATACCCTTATAATAATTTTGGGATTCAGGGATAGTGACATTTTTTTGTAACTACACATGGCAAGACTCCTTTTAGGGGTATGATTGCTAAGAGGTTAGCGGTTTGAGCAAGTCTGCAATGTCTATTGAAAATCATCAATATCCCGGGGAATAATTATATGTTCGTAAGCAACGTTGAATATTTAACCATGGAAACCAATCTCGAAAATAGAGATTTTTAAAAGCCAAAACGAATTCCCGGAGCACATTTCACGGATTTATTCCAATGGAAGTAAAAATTGAAAGTCGAATTTATTCAAACTCATTCGATTAGATAATGTACGATGTTTACTTATAATATTAATTTTCCATTCATATTCGTGATATAAATAATTAGTTAAATAATAAAGTTTTAAATATTTTTACAATTTATTTTCTCTAAAAAAAATGACTAAACTTATGTGGTAAATATGAAACAATGTCTACCAGTAATCTGCAAAGGAAAGATTTATAAAAAAAAATATGTCCGGCCCAATCCCAAACAAATTTTTTTTTATTTGTCCCAAAAAAACCCGACACAAGATAAAAATTAAATTTATTATATAAAAAATCATTATATTTTTTTCAACAGGGTTGTTTTACATTACACTTAATAAAATGGTAAGCGGTAAATAATTCCCCGGAAGAAAAAAAATCCCCAATAATAATTCATAGAAAATAATTTTTCGGAATTGATTTTCTCGAAATTTTTAAATATTTTATTTGAGGATTTTTATTTTCGTGGATATATTTTATAGGGAATCATTTCTCATATTTTAATTAATTTTTTTAATTTTTAATGTCTTAAAAAACGGGGATTTTTTTGGGGGGGAATTATTTTCCTAGATTCAACAAGATCAAGTTTATGATCATTCTATAAACAAACAAATATAAAAAAATAATAATTACTTATTTATTGCAAAAAAAAAATTAAAAATATATTTATTTTATTTTTAAAATTTAAGCCCAACCCAACTATTTGTTACGTGCTTAATTTTTAAGTTTTCTTTTTATTTTGATAATTTGAAAAAATTACTATATATTTTTTAATATAAATGATATTTATGAAAGATTTTAGCCCTGCCATTTATGAGCAAAAATCTTTAGGATTGGTAATATTTCTCTGGATATAATACTAAAAGTCAGCCGTTTTTAAAAAATTTTGCATCACTACTTACGACCAATATTTAAGATACAAAAACTCTTGGACCTATGTTTATCCCAGTCTAGGACTTGGCACAAATATAAGAGTCTATCTCTTAAGAATGGCAGTTTTCTTTTTATAACTATTCCCGGTTTTTGGCAATGAATACATTTTCAATATAATAAATTTTATAAGGGCTATATTATACCAGCTACTTAGTGAAACTTAAATTTTGGGTTTAAATCAATTATTTTTTGAGATTCGTGAATTTAGGAAGTCTCACGTTTCTCATATGGGAAATTAAAATGACAGTTTTTTTTCACTAGTTAGTGCTATACTACCTTCATACAAATTTTAAAAAAAAAATCGAAAGGGGTGGAGTTGAATCTTCAGTTGATTTGATATGGAATACAGCATATCCTATTGCCTTGGATAAAAAAAACCCATTAAATATATAAAATCTATCACGATTTAAAATACACTTAAGTATACTGCCCGTCCTGCTCCAAACGATTTTCGAGGCCGTCCGATTTCCTTCGTCACGCTCGAGCGCACGCCAATGACATATAATAATACCTAGACTGGTGACGCATTCATAATAATGCATTTGAAAAGCGTCGTTGAATGAAAATCAGCTGATACCCGCCGATTTTGGTAACCCATATAGTAATTATTCTCATGTTAAAAACTATCGTTAAAATGATAACTTGCTTCCTTATTATCTCGATGATCAGGCAAACCTTTAATATAGTTTAGGGCCAGACATAGGCGTCCCCAGCTGTTTTCATTGATGTACACTTTTAATGAATGCATCGTCAATCTAGGTATTATTACATGTCTTTAATGCACGCCTCCCAATAAAAGAACCGAATAATTTTAAATATTCACAATTATACTAATCAATTAGGAATATCAAATTCTATCATTTGCCCGAATACGAATAATTCGTTATTCGCATTAGTTTTTTGAATAGGCCTACTTACTATTCTCTTCATTCATATTTGTGATTTTGTAACTTCCGCCGCAAATTTTGATAAATATGAATGCGCGAAATATGTTGTATTTTTTTACATAGTTTTGCGTATTTTTGTATCGTCCGCCGCTGATTCGCGCTAACTGTGACTGTGGGGTTAGAGATATAAAAACGTTTTTTTTTAAAAAAAATAAGAAGCAGGGAAAAAAAGACAGAAATAAGGGCTTAAATATTAATCAAGTGAAAATTTTTAAACCTAAAAATTAAAATAAAATATGAACAAATTATAAAATAATTGTGATAATCAAAAATTTGCTTAAAAAAAATATTGGTAATTTTTTTATATAAGAAAAAGAAGCATAGTATTAAAAAATTAATTTTTTTTAAAAAAACATTGTTTTTTTTATCATTAAATGCACACTAATAATCCTGGGTAAAAAAAATAGTTAATATTAAACCTTTATGCTCCTTCATTGGCATTTCTCCTTCTCCACAGCATTTGTTGGTAGAGTTTTTCTAATAATTTTTTTAAAAAAATTATAAATATTAAAATGTCAATAATTTTGTTATATAAGTTATTAAATTATTAATATTAGTATTTATATGTATATATATTTTTTTTTAAATTACTTGAATTAGTTATCGTGACATTAAAATTTTAACGCTAATACCTAATAAGATGCTTTTGTCAGAATCTAAGAAATCGATTCGGTTCTTTGAAATATTTTCCTTATAATGATATAGCCCCCCCCCTCTAGATAATTTTCTTATTTGGAACAAATAAAATTATAATTTTTATAAAAAAAAATATACCCTATAATGTGTCAATTCCGATAGCAATGCTATGTTTTGGCTTTTCGTATTTTCGTATTTTCTTTGCATTATCTGAACGACCATAAAATATAAATGAGGAAAACTAAAATTTGATAAAATAAAGAGCCAAATAAAGAGGATGAGGTATAATGTTTAATCTATACTTGAACAACGATATATCGTCAAACTTCATTATTAATTGTTTCTCTATATATATATAATGGCGATTAAAAATATTTTGGTTTTAAAAGATACGGACCGGCCCCGGTATAAAAATACGGTCCGGCCGTGTACCCGAGCCAGGGTTAGGGTCGGGCCTGCCGGACACCGATATCTATTATATAATATAATCACTTAATATAATTGACCTTTTTAAGTTTTATATAAGATCAAAACCTACATTCTGCCAGTAATATCGTATTATACCTTTATAACATACAATACAATACAATAATCTTTTAATAATATATTAAATGCGAGACCTTTTTAATATACAATATAATGGGTAGGTAGAAATATAAGATCCTGGTGATTCAACTAGTAGGGTTGTTAAATGGCTCGATTTGGGCCGACGGAGAAGTCGATATTTTAGTCAGAAAAATATTGCCTAAGCCTCGAGATTTAGCTAATGAGATGTCCAAACCTTTGTGCCATCATTCTTTGAGCAAAATCTTCAGGTTTGCGTATTATGTATTTGGGTAAAAAAAAATATTGAAGTTAGCCCCTTTTTTTTCTAAAATCGGCTCAAATCGAGCCGTTTAACAACACTATTCGTTAAGAATAACGGTTCAGATTTAGTAGACAAGAAAAAAATTTATCAATTCATTTTGGCAATGGACCACGATTGACTGTACCAAGAATGGAGATAATTTCTATAAAAAAAAATTTTGGTCTAAACCATGATGACAAATTTTTATAATAGATATAATAAAATTAGTTAGCAGAGCTATATCCCTCCAGGCCAGATAAAAATCATACTTCGCCTCCCTTACACGACTTAATTATCAAAAAATTTAATTCTTGTAAATTTTAACATGGATTATTTATGATTATGATCAAATTATTTTTTTTTATATAAAAAATAATGGTAAGATATCAAGAATATCATATATAAACACTTGCAAAAACAAATTTTTTTAAAGATAAAAATATTTTAACTTATTATATTTAACGCCATCTATAAAATTTGGTTTAAATTATAAGGCAATATTTTTTTTTGAAATCTATAACCCAATAAATTTTATAGAATTAATTATTATTTTATTCGTAAAACGTAGTAAAGAAAAAAAAATTCAAAAAAATTGAAAGATAACAAGTCCTTCAAAAAAAAACAATTTAAAATTTTCAAATGGGCATAGGATAATTCATCATGAAAAAAATACTCAACTTTTTCCGTTGTTTTAGAGTTGACTAAAGTTAGATAGTTTAACTAGCTCTAATTGATGAACATTTACTTTATTATAAATAACATATTTATTTTTGTAAATTTGAGTAAAATGGTTAATTTTTGAATCATTTGGACCCCTAATTATTTCAGGAAATATAAAAGTTAAAGAGATAAAAATTTCGTTTTTGGTTAAATTTTGCATATGTAACCATCATACCAATTTTTACTAAAATCAAAAGGAGTGGGTCGTGATGTGTGTGATTTGACACATGGAAAGACCAAAAGTATTTTTAATTAATTTGAACCAGTTACTTTATATTAGTAACTTATAATCACAAGAATCTTTACCAACGTATATATATCTTAATGAAAATGTAAAAATTCTAACTGCTGAAGGATAAAATAAAAAATTAGTGTTTCTGAAAATAATAAAACATTTTTAATAAAAAAAATTAGAAAAACAAAATGAAAATTTTGTTGAGAAGTACAAGTAGAGTAAATAAATTTCAAAATCTGGTCTTAATTTAATTCAAGAGAATAAGTATAGCCTTGGAAATCACCCTGAAGCTGGACTGGCCTAATAAATTTTTTTAAATTCAGATTTGGGTTTAAAACTTTTTTATTATGTTGGGTTAGGGCTGGTCTTGAAAAAATGTTTTCCCATCTTTTAAAACAAAAAAACCTATAATTAGGGTTATATTTCTCTGGAATTTAAATAAAGCAATTAAGGATTTTCATATTATATAAAAATGGATTTAATTTTATTCCTTTCAATTAAAAATTTTGCCTTGGCCCTAAAATCAGATAGAAAATTTAAACCAGGGTTCTAAAAAATATTTTAAAATGTAGCCTAAGCTAGCCAAAAAAAAAATTGAATGTTCAAGGCTTTATTATTCTTAATTTTGATGCCTTTATTTCATATTTTATCTCATATACTTCCCACACACAACGATATTAAGGGATATATGAATACATTAAAAATAAAGATAAGACCCAATTGTATATACAATAAATTATATCAAGGTGACAATATGGCTATAAAATAAAGATAAGAACCTATATAAAAATGTTATCAGAGCCTAGGATGTCAATTAATCTTCATTTATATCTGACTATTCATATTTAAATTATTTATTAACATTTTAACTCCACTAAACCAAAAAATATAAAACCTAAAAAATAATCAAAAAATCTGATAATTCAATAAAAATAATGGATTTAAAACATGATAATATTTTTCTGTGAATAAGTAATGTAAATTTACTTTATTTTCATTCTTCAATTTATTTAGTTTTTGAGTTAATTCCATGTTTATAGTATGTAATTTTGAAATTGTATGTGAACATTCATTCTAAATATTATAATAAATAAGTAGTAATAATATTTACATCAACATAAAATAAACAATGTTAAACTTTAAATATCGTTGGATCATTTAAGTTTGAATAATAATCAGTGTTATCAAAGTATTCCATGTCATATTTATATAAACAAAAAACTACGATTTTAAATAAATGATTATTTACATCATCAATGATTTAAAAATTTAATAGAAAATATCAAATAGTTATAATTCCTACGCATATAATTCATAGTTTATTTATTTTTCTAAAATTATCAAAAATTGAATTAAAACATATGTTTTAGTTTTTACCGACAAAATACATAAATAAATAACGATGCCAAATCATTGTGCCAAATCAATGATAAATATCAATGATATATAAGATAAACTAACTCAAAAAATTTGCAACTAAGGGAAATTTATTATTGAATGTCAGTAGGAAAAAGGTTGAAAGATATGGATTAGGTTAGGGCTAATTAAATGTTTTTTGAGAGACAGCGTAATAATATACGCTGTTGGTAATCATTTATTAAATGCATTATAAAAAGTGTACATACATTGTAATCATAAAACAAGTTTTCACATTTGTTATTTCATTTAGATAATGGGTGTGTTCTACACCAAATTGCATAAAAAAAAAAATACGTATCAAATTTTTCTTAACGCAAATATGTACTTTCTGTATTTTGCTTTTTTAAAATTTTTGGAAATATCTTTTATATAATATATTTTAAAATATCTCATTCATCAATTGTATTCAAAAAGATACAGATGCTTTAAAAAATATATATTATTTATTTTAAATAGTATTAATATTTAAATGAAAAATTTTATTTTTTTTAGATTTTATTAAAATTTTATTTCCAAATTTAGTATTAAAAAAATTACAATAAGATTAATTTTTGATTAAAAATATGTATCTTTTATTTAAGTACTTTCATTTAGAAAGAGATAGAAGTATATTATATCTTATATCCTTTTAATATTTTTAATAAGATATTGGTATCTAAATCAAAGAATCTTTATTTAGTCTTTGTGGACCCTGTCCAACTTTGTATATAGGAGCAGCTCTTTAGCCATTTATGTTTTGCGCGTTCACTAAATAACATTTATGATTATTATAAAATTATTTTAAAAAAATATTAAATTATTTTAAATATATTTTAAAAATTCTAAAATATAATTAAAATCTATAAACAAATTATATCTGATTTAATCAAGGTACAATCCATAAAATAAAGCTAAAATGAACTCCTATGTATGTGCACTTATAAATACATTTTAATAAATAAATCGTCAATCTAGTATTATTTAATAAACTTGAGTGATATATGAGTTATGGTTTGGCAAATATTTAAAATAAAATAAATAAATTATAAAAATAAAATTTGGATTAATAAACTTTCCAATTTCAAAAATTCAGAATAATAATATCAATAAGCTATATCAATATCATTTATATGAATGCATACGTGTTCAATTTTGTATTACTCTATGAACATATTTAGACAATTTTCTACTAAATATAAATTAAGTGTTCCTTTATCATTTATAGCTATGGTGTTCAGTTCAATTACATTTATTATTCGATCCATATTAACATTTAACATCTTAATTAAATCCACTTAAAGACAATCATGAATAAAATATTAATTTTCATTTCACATGTATAATGTTTAATTCAGATAGCTGCCTGATTTTGTTACTATCTGGTCGTCCTGATGGTTAATACTTCAACTCTTTACAACTCCAATTCCTCAATGTTTTTACTATCGTTTTTCTTGAACGGCACAAGCTACCTGAAGGCCCGGTTATCGCTGCACGGTCACGAGGACCGTATTCTTATCTCATCTCTTTAATAAATTTTAGAACCATAATTATCGTCGTATCTTTGAAGTCGTCTCATATATGTCATAATTTTATTTTTTAGACACTTAAAGGAATAATGATTACTCGTTAGCCTGTGGGACTTTAATTCACTGAATAGTTTTTCATATAGTGATACGTGTTAAAGCGCATTCGCCCTCTCAACGTTGTAGGAACAATAGAGCTACGCTAGGTTTTTCTCATTTCCATTTAATTGGATTTATTAAGGTGGGGAAAAAATATGAGAAACCCTTTACACGTTTGTGGGCAAGCCGTACGTACTTGTGCGCACAATAGTCCAAGGATTATCGTTTAAACGTCTATGGGCTGATTGAGAAAGGAACAGGGCCAAATAAGACAGCCCACACCCATACCTACTGTCCTAATTTTATCTAACTATGATTGGATAGGGGAAGGCTGGTTTAAGTTAATGTTTAAAGATTCGCATTTAATAAAAAAATATGTTATTCAAATAAAAGAAAACTTGTACACTTGAGGTGGCTGAGGGAGGGGAAGGGTATAGTTGTGGGTAAGGGTGAAGTAACGGATAGGGGATATCATCTCAGGTACCCAGATTTTACCTTAAGAAGCTTTTTGATAGATTTTTTATTTTTGTTTAGTCTGGTGAACTGTTTCCAGTTTAAGTTCAGGTCAGCAACGTCTTTCAATACCCGGTGGAGCAATAATGTTTTGTATCTGCTGTATGATTTACCTTTACAGGTAAGAAGCCAAGTTAAAGCATCATGAACCAAATTGCAGTTGGGGTGTCTCAGAATATGCTCTAAGAAATTGATTCGTTTTTTCTTTAGTATGATATGGAAAAGAATATGTTTTGATTGTTTCCATAACCTTTCGTTCGATAAAAGTCTGGGGTAGAAAATGTCGTTAATTATCCTTAAACACTTGTTGATAAACGTTTGACATTTCCTATTATCAGCTTTGCTTATTTCCCATGTTTCACAGCCATATAATAGAATGGGAATCACAGTGGAATTAAAGATACGTAGTCGTGTGAAGGCAGGTATCTCCCTTGTCTTCCATAACTTGAAGTACTTGTAAAAAGATACCCTAGCTTTTTGTATTCTTATCCTGAGTTCTTCTTTACAGCCCCCTCTATTATCTAGGGTAATTCCAAGGTTTTTTTTTTGGGTAACCACCTTAATCACCTCAGACCTAACATCGATACTTTCTATGGGAGACGTGTGTCTTGCTAACATAATCATGGTTTTCTTGTAGTTTATTTCTAGCCCGACTTTCGTGCTCACCAATTTCAACAAATGAATAAGATTGGAGGTTTCCTCTAAATCCTTGGTGAGGATTACCACATCATCGGCGTAGGATATAATCCTGTTCTCTAGATTGTACTTATTCGGATATAAGTTTAGTTCCAGCAGGTTTGCAGCGTCTAAAGTATCTTTTAAAATCTTATTCATAACTATGTTGCAGAGGATTGGCGAGAGAACACAGCCTTGTTTCACTCCTTTTTTTATCCTAAACGGTGGAGAGATTGTATTGTTTATTCTGCATGAGGTAAGCAAATTGTTATAATGGTGCCGTAATATCTTGATTATGTTTGTGTCAACCCTAGCTTCTGATAAAATCTTCCAAAGCGCATCATGATTAACATTATCAAACGCCTGTTTAAAATCGATAAAAGTGAATAAGAAAGGTAGTTTATATCTATCACATTTTTGAATGATGATTTTAAGAGCAAGAAAAGGCTCCATAATGTTTTTGCCTGGGCGATAGGCGCAGATATACTTGGCGAAGAGGTTTTGCGATGTTTGTAAAATGCGAAACTTGGGGAGTAAATTTGCATTTATTTTGTATAAGTAGGCTAATTGTTTTCCAGTGCCACTCTTTGTAAACGATCTTACCAATAGTGTTTTAATTAAGCTTCATATCTATTTATATCTTCATCCATTTGTCTTTAATGGTGACCTAATCTTTTTGACATTTATTATCGTTACATCGGCTTATGCTAATGATATTATATAAAATTTAATGACTATATAACCCATCATCAGATTTTGCTATTGAGAAATGTTTTGGATTTGGTTGTAAATCACCTATGATTATATAATTTTTATTATATGCAATTATCATTTTTAAGTGGCAGATGTGTCAGACATAGAAGGAGGATCCTAAGGGTTGAATTCATGGTACCAATTTTTCCTTCTAAAATCAGGGTAAGGTTAAAAAGATTAGAAATATACGATTGTTAAAATAATAATAAAAAAATATCTTAATATTAAAGATATATAGTATATTTGAATTTATAAAAGATGAATGGATTTAATAAATATTAATATTAGTATTTCATTATATTTATCCAGAGACCTGCAGACCAGGCCGGACTATTTTTTTTTAAAAATATCCGAGCCGGGCTATATATTTTAAAACCAAATGTTTAAAATCGCCCTTATTAGCTATAAAAATCAAAAATAAATAAAATATATTTTAAAAAAATCCCTACGGGGCCATGCAAATGCTACCTCTGCAGGTCTCTAATATATATAGAACATTAATTGATAATATAAATATTCAAGATTTTGAGTATAAAGTAGATATGAATATATCATCATCAAATATCATGTTGCTATCAATTGCATTAACTATTAAAATTATTTAACGGTTTTTCAAATTTCATGGTCATTTTGTATAAACATTTATTTAACTCCCGAGAGACACCACTTCATAATTGCGTATACTTTTATATATCTAATGATCCTTATTAGTTATCAATAATATTCATGTTTTAAGTCAAGGATATCTCCGTGCCACCCAATATATTGTGTTTCTATTAATGACATAATCTTATACAGACCGACGAGTCATTTATTTTGAAATAAATCAGCCGATAGAACGCCATTTTGTTTTCCCATGAAATTTTTTACACCCGCTAATTTATATTCAACGACGCTTCAAGATACATGTCAATGAGTGAAACGTTAGTATAGATAATAATTAAGAGTGTTTTACAATCTTTTGTGCAAATCATATATTTAATACGGTAAATTTTTCCAAAATACACTGCATTTATGTATTCTCCCGCCGTTATTTTGTCTTAAATGTGAGTTAGGAGTTAGCCTGCATTTACCCGGGTTACGCCGATCTTTATTAAATGTTAACTCTGATTTCGTTGTAAAGTTGGTGGCATTAGTCAGACACAATTTTTATATAACCTAGTAATATGCATAGTATCACTCCTATATACTATCATTTACAATATGCGACTTGTCAATATATATTTTTTTTTTGTAAATTCATGACAACCAAATTTATTCTTATGAGAAAAAAATAATTTTTACTAATCTATTTTATCGATCAAACTTTATTTAAAAACATTTACAAAACAAGATACCATAATATCTTATATCAAAATAATAATATATTTAAAATGAGAATATATCTAAAAATAAAAAAAAAATTTATATTAAAAATATGTGAGAAGGAGGCTCTAGGTATGGCCACTATTGATATACAGTGTTGCCAGCATATCTCAATCGAAATTCGATGCTGGAGGTAAAAACCTTTCTAATAATAACCCGAGATTAAGCGTAATTAATGAGTGATTTGAAGAACCTAGCACTCTGGATCCGAAAACATTGATTCTTTTCTTTCATTTTTTTAAAATTTATTTCATTTCATTTACAGAGGGAATCAGACCTACTCTCCTTTTATTTTATCTGATTTCCCAACGAAATCGAAATTAAAATAAACTAATAACCAATAAAAAAACTACCGAAAACATAAATTAAGCTGGCGCCTCAATGCTTATCGGAATTTCTTTGGGACGAGCATGTAGATTTAGCCAAATTTGTCAATTTTTTTTTAACAATTATCTATCTATCTATACTTTAACTACTAATATTTAGTCAATACGATACTTAAACATTACCAGCTTAAATTATGAGGAAGTATATTATTAACTAATAAAAATGATATATTTTTATTTGCAAATATTATTTTTTTTTTCATCCATTTACAATGAAGATCCTATTTGTTTTATTTTTAAAAATATATTACCTATATATTTCTTTTTATTTTATCTTAATTATTAATAATTTTTTTTAAAAATTTAATACGTGTATTACATATAAACTTTACAAAAAAATATATAAAATATATATATATTTATATAATATTATTTTAATATCTGATCTGATTACATTGAGCGTATTTTTTTTTTACAATAATATATTAAAATGTAACATTATATTATAAAAATTTTAAATCGTTTATAATTCACATCTTTTCTAACAAGTTTTTTTTTAAAAATAATTAATTTAATAATATGTTTAAATAAGAATATAAGCAATAATATTTCCTTTCGACCTATTTTAATAAAATATGTACAAATTATTAATTTTTTTTTTTAAAAAACTCAATGTTTATTTTGGCATGTAAACTCAAACTATACTACTAGTTTAAACAAAATGATGTTTCCAAAAAAAATATAATAAATTATATATTTTTTAATTATTCCATCATAAAATTAAGTGTGACTAGGTTTGCAGATACCATCGCCTTCCCACCAACCGCTGAAATCTTTGTAAAACCTTGTTTCCTCGTTGATATCCGAGGAACCAAAATTTAAGTGAGAATAGTTTATCATAGCGCAGATTCGGCACCAAAACTTGGTGTCCACAAATGTTCCCCCTTCACTTTTCCAAGCGAGGTACGAATTGTAAAGTTGATCGTCCGAGTCTAATATGTACAAGTAAAGAGCAAGATGAGCGGGGCTAGGAAAATCGTCTACGTGAATGAAAGATTGACTAGGAGCTATCCTTATATATTCGGACTTAGATGGGCCCATTACTATAGGAATTATGGTGTTCCTAGAGGATTAAAACATTTGTTTTATATGATTATATTGATAGTTTTTTTTCTTCTTTTTTTAAAGTCATGGGATATAAAGGGTTAGAGAATTATTTGTAAAAAATATATATAACATTTATATAATAGTGGGCACAAATTGAGCGCTTACGTTATGTAGTACTATTTTTAATAATAAAAAAAAACCTAACACATTCCTTATTTAAATTAAGGTGGCCGTTTTATTAGAGTGTCGATTCAAAATTGTAACCAACTTAAAAAATAATATTTGTCTTTGAAAATTATATTATCGTCTGTCTTTTTATTTCGTCAATTTTCTAAAATATTCTATTTAAGATAAGTAAGTTATATTTTTTATATTTTATATAATATATAACAAACAAAATTTAAAAGGTGTTGAAAAATAAGCAAATATTTGTTAGCATTTATTAAAATGGCTGCTTAACGTCAAACAGTAATTTTTACCAATTAACGCAATGTCATTTGAGATGCATTATTTGTGCAACGCGGGAAACGCTCAATTTGTGAACAGTATAAGAAAATTAACACTTTTACTTAGTGTTGTTAAACTGTCCGATTTTCATGGATTTTTAAAAACTGCCCGTTTAAAATTTTAGCCAAAATAGAGGTCCTAATCTTTCTGCTGCCATCTATGAGCAAAATCTTCGGGGTTGCATAATATTATTTTGGCTAAAATCTTAACCGACCCGTATAACGACACTTACTTTTACTAAAACAAATAAAGCTAAATAAATCAAAATAGATGCTATTAGAGGAATGTTTCAAATGGGGACTTTATATAATACCATTTCTTCAAATTAAAGTTTATATATAGATATTATACTTCAATCCGTTATCGAAAAATTTCTCCGTTACGTAGCCTTTGCACCGCGAGTTTTCGAAAGAAAGATAAAACTTGTAATCCTTATCGAGCATATCAAAGCATTTGGTGCCTTCCTCCTTCGCGCAATACAGGGGGGAATCCCCACATTTTCCGTATATATCCACGGGTATGTATTTATTCAGCGTGTTGGCGTAATCAAGCCGGAATTGGCTTTCACAGTTGGAAACGAACCAAGCGATCATTTTGGTTTTCCCGATGGCATAATTTTTGGTACCCGTTTTAATTGTAACCTCGTTTTTCAGGTATAAGATCAATGAGGGAGGTAAGGAATATTTTGGCGGCGGGAATGATAATGCCCGGAGGTTAACTAGGAGAGCGTTTAAATTGTCGTAAAGGTGAGAAAGATTTAGCGACGAAATTTCCGGAGTCATTGGGTGGTAAGAATGGATTAGTAAACGATTAACTATTTCATCGTCTAGGAGAGTATCGTGGGATTTGAGGTGAGACTTTAACGCGATGGTCAGATTTAAATATTTTTTAACCGTTCTATTTAATGTGAGAGGCACATTAACGCGTTGAACTTGTATTCTTGACTCTTTGGGTTCTCTCGATCGAGAATACGGACTCGTAATATACTTATCATATGGCGTAACTATATCCGAGTCAGGTCTATAGGTAGCGGTCAAATTAAACCACGAGTAGAGCCTACCAAAATAGCCAGTGTTCATATTCATAGGACTCTCCAGGGAGTGAAATATCCAGAGCTGAGCAGGGTTCCTTTCTAAGTCCATATCTGATTCTGTGGGAAAAGCGTTTCTGTATAAGACCGCGTGGGCTTTCCGACGAGGTATACCTGTTGGATCCGCGGAATCGGTGAGGTAGCAATTGGTGAAAGCGCATTTAGACTTTTTCAGAGCCCCACAGCCATAAGGAATGTCATTCCAGGTAGGGTGTAAATGGGTAGCCACGTATATAACTTTAGTAGGCAATTTCTTGTGAGTACCACCGAAAATTCGCTGGAGAACTTTTTCAGCGTTATAACTGGAATTGTTTTGTGTATTGTGGAAGAAATCAGGAAATATGTTATCAGGATGGCAAGATCGCTTGGACGACGATTTAAAGTTTAACATTTCAGGAGTCAGAGATAATTGTTCCATAATTCTATCGCTGGTGTTAGAATCTTCTGGCCATAGCGGGATCGACAGTTTGACCGTGTTTTTAAGTTTAGTACGATTATCAATTGTCGTGGCTTTGTCTAATTTGTTTGATTTCGGTGATATATGCGAGACATTCTCTTCCGAATAATGTTTTAAAATTTCTAGCAATCTCGAAAATTTTGCTAACACGGAAAAGCGTTGTATCAAATTTTCTAAACTTTGATGCCGATCAATTAGGGCTTCTGGATTAATCGTAGACGACATAAATTTTATGGGTGACGCAGGAATTCGGGTTTTAGAAGCTTGGGGAAACATATGGTCTTCAATGGATTTGAATGACTTTCTATTCAGCCCTAATCTGTAATTAAAGGACTTTTGGTTATCATCCTCGTGTACGCCAAACTGATTTTCATTCCCAAGTAGATCACCTAATTTATTAACGTCAATATCATCAGGCCGCGGAGGAGGATCGTACTCCGGATCATGGTTCATATACGATCTCCCAAGATTTAAAGAAGTATCCTTCGTGCCTATAAGAGTATTTAAGAGTTGGATGTAATTACCCATATCGGAATGTTCGCTGTTAGAAATTCGTTTCAACTCTGGCTTCGCCAATGACGACTCATAGGGAGGCGAGATATTCGGCTTCTTAACAATATTACTCGGTTTTTGAGGCCGAGGTAGCTTGGAGAGGGATGAAGGATAGTAGTAAGAAAATTTTCCTGCCATCGCCATGGAGGAACCATTGTTGACAACGCCAAATTTTCCCTCTTGATTGAGATCCGAAAAATTGACTTCCGGTTGCTTATTTTCGAACACGTATACAATGAATACGCTAGTCATGTAAAACGTTATTATTATAGCGATTAAAGAGCACCAATACGCGAATATTCTGGAAGCGTAGGCCAACCTTGGCAATAACATACAAACCTATTTTCTTTTACGCTTCCCTTTCGCCGATATTTAATTGATTAGGGCATAGTAGAAAGTTAAGAAGAAGGGAAAAAATGTCGTACCGATGAATTTCTCTTTCATTTTTAAGAAATAAAGATGTAATCAAATCTCTGGATTTTAGGATATGGGCTTCTTGCAATAAATATTTAAATAGTAGAAAAAAATTTAATGCGCGATAAAATTCAATTACAATGTAATCTGATTCGATAAATATTTAAAACATGGCGCCACATCTTAATAAAAATAGAATACGCGCCATTTTTATTTTACATAAAAACGATGACAAAAAATGGTAAACCGTTAGAAAATGGAGTTCTTTTCTTCGTTTTTAAAACATAAAAAAAATAGCTTATTTTAATGTGACAAAATTTAAAAATTACGAATTTATCCCCAAGAAAAAAAATTAATTAAGATTTATTTAAAAAAGACCTTCGATAAATAATTACATTCTTTTTTAAAAAATAACTTTATTTAAACCAAAATTTCAATATAATTCCTTGTTAATATATATATATATTTTTTAAAAAATTATGTAATTTCCTATTTTAATGATATGTTTATATATATATTTTTTAAAACATATATAAATTATTAGACATTAAATAAATTTTTTAAATAATTTCTTGTATATAGTTGAAAGTAATGGTGTATGTATTACTATTTGTATTTATAAACGATTTTAAATATCGATTTTATTCAAAAAATATTTTATTCATTTAACTATATAATATGTAACAAAACAAAAATAAAGGAGATAAAATAAAAGAATATAATATATGCACCAATAAATAAATCTGAAAAAAAAACTAAATTGACAATAGTCGCAAATGATCACTTGATTATATTCTCTAAATTTTTTTTTCCTAACTATTTTGCAGTTTGACATTTATTAGTGGAACATGATAATATCGGAAAAAAAACATTTAAAATATTAAAATTGATGAGCCATATTACAATGATATCTAACTGACAATATTTCAGTTATTACTTACAGGGAATATAAAGTTATATATATTTTTTTTTATGGCCACAAAAAAATATAAACGAAAATTTAATTATGAAAGAAGTTTTAAGAAAATTTGTATGTTTTTTAAAATCATGAAATGATAGATGAATAGCTATAAATTTTTTTTTACTCCGTTTGTGTATGTTGTGAAATATTTTATTATCCTACATTGCCATTTTTTTTATGTCTTGACTAGTGTTGGTTAAACGGCTTAATATTTCATCCAGAAAAAAAAATATAGAAGGAACAAAGGTTTAGACATATATTATTTAAATATTTTAAGTTTTAGGGCAATATTTTTTTCCTTGCTAAAACATTGAGTTAGCCGTTTTTAAAAAATAGGCTCAAAACGAGCCATTTTAACAACACACTAGTCTATCACCGTTATGCGAATGTTAGAAAGTATGAAAGAAAGAATGAATGAAATTAAGCAAGATAGTAAGAACGCAGTTTATTATATAGGTTTAAACTCCGCCATTATTATCCATTTTATTTTAATGTTTCGGACCGGCCATTATCAATATTTATCGGCCTGATATATTTTTTTTCTTTCTGCTGAGTTATATTTATTTAAATCTCCTATATATATTACCTTAATGCATTATAAATATTAAAATCGCTCATCGTTTTTTTCATTATTCAATGACTTTGAATAAGCTGAGTTATTCCGATTTCGAGAGTCGAGACTGAATTGAAGATATTATCGATGGCCATTTGATGAAATCATAACAGCGAATAAAATTCAATTTATTTGTGAAATTTATCCATATAAATTTTTTTTATATCGAATTTAACCCTTCAGAGCCCCAGGGGATAAGCTGAGGTGCCCAGAGACCTAAATTTAGTAATATGCTATATCTTAGAAAATAGAATTTATACTTGTAAACTTTCATATTTTAAATATTATAATTGAATAAATTCCAATAAAGTGATTTTAGATTTATGTCCTAAATATAAAAAAAAATAAAATTTCAAAATTACTCGAAATTAAACGAAAGGAAATAAAATATATAAGCCATTTTGAATTTGTAAAATTAAAATATTAGCATATTGATTTTTTTTTCTCCTAATTTGTTTAATATTTTGTGAATCTTTAAATGTTTTTACGAATAGTGAAAATCAAATCATTTTATAGAAACGTTTTTTACTTGGAAAAATGACGAATGAATATGATCTCATGGAAAAATATAGAATTAATAAATCTTTCACATCAAACATTCAGAATAATTTAAATGGAGAATTTAACAAAACTTTTGAAAATTTAATGGAGAAGATTCTGAAGATGTTTCATATCCCCAAAAACTCACGAAAGTTATGCAATTCCTTGTTATAACACTGAATATAAAATTCTAGGAAATATAGAACTAATAATTTCCGTTAATATTTTTTTTATTAATCAGGAATTTTATAAAATGATTAAAATTGTGGCCAATTTTAGAGAAAGAAACTGTTAAAATACCCTAATTTAATTTTAAAAAATTATAATATACATAAAATGATATTAAAAAATAAAATAATATTTTAAGAAGAAGAAACCATTTTAAAAAACTAATAATTTTATTCAAATAAGTTTATATCGATATTACAGAATTTGTTCACTTCCCTAAATATCTTATAAATAAACAATATCACCGTTATTACATTTAATACCAAGCAAAGCTACTTGAGATTGAAGCTAATTAAAATATATGGGCGTTCTCAGCCATTGCTCAAAATTAGAATTGAGTGGTCTAGATAATCAAAAAATAACGTTTTTAATAAAACTATCCGAGACATGCAGGCCCGGCCCTTAGTCCAGTCCGGGATATTTCAATTTTTTTTTAAATATACCACGGGCAGGGCCGAGCTGGGCAGTATATTTTAAAACCAAATATTTTAAAATCGCCATTATTAGCCATTTAAAATTATAAATAAATATAATCTATTTTTAAAAAAAATTCGGGCCAGGCCCTGAAAATACAAAACCCGGGCTGGGTTGTGCAAATGGTAACTCTTGCAGGTCTCTGAAAAAAAATATAGATGCAACTAATTGATTTTAAACCAAGAATAAAAATAATTTTTTTTAAACTATTTAATTTATGAACCTCTTATATGATATATATAGTGATTATATTAATTGTGTTGTCAAAAAAAAATTTTTTTTAATTATTGTTACAAGTGAAAATATAATTTGTTTCAAATAAAATTTAGCGTTCGCCTCTTTATATAATCGATTTTGAGTATGAGTGGGGGGTCAGAAATTTCTTGATTTTCTGATTCTCATTCTTTTAATGTTAAATATTTTTTCTCCCTTTTTCCCTTTTCACTTTCTCAAGGTATGCAGTAATTAATCAACATCCTGGAGCCTGCTAATTTATCATCAGATGATGACCTTAGGACCAGATGGTATAGATTAGTGTAATTTTAAGTATAAAAATGATTTATTTTAAAAAAAACTCAAATGTTTTATGAAACAAGTTGTCCGAAAATTGTATGATAAATTATTTCCATGTATTTTATTACATATTGGGAAAAAGTCGCCGAAAATATATCTTGAATATAAATTAAAAAAATATATTTGCCCGATCACACTTTACTTAATTATGGAAGTTAACTGGATGTAATATTTGGCTGGTTACATACAATTATGGGTAAAGCGGGGCATTGGTATTCCTTAGACTCTGGTTAGATATTTTTTTTGACCCTTGTTTTTGGGACTTTCAAGTATATATAAATCTTTTTTATTATTGGTAATATTAATATAATAGGAAATAAAATTTCAATACTAAGTAGTGTTGTTAAAAAGTCCGTTAAGATTTTTAGTTAAAATAATATTAGGTAAGCACCGAGATTTGACAAATATATGTTCCAAGCATTTCTGCTAGCTATGAGCAAAAATCTTTAGACTTGCTATTTTGGTTATAATCTTAATAGGGCCGTTTTTATATTGAATAACACTAAATAACTAGCCCATAAAAAACAAATGAGGTTTTACAGAGTTAGCTCGAAAATATCTCTAACCTCTTTTTAGCACCTATTTTTGACTTGTAATAAGAATTACATGATTTTATAATAAAAATGTATTTTTCAAAAAATGATTGCAAAAATAATGATATATTGAAAAAAATACTGGACATGGTTTGGTTAAGCCAAGAAGAGAAAAATGATATATATTTTGAAAGAAGTAAAAAAAATCAATAAAAATAATTATTATCTTTATATTTATATTATTAAGAAGAGATTAATTTAATTTTTATAATAATATTATAAATATTTATATAAAATATTTTTTTTTTCCCCTTTATAATTTTATAACGCCTTATATTTTATTTTTTTTTGCCAATATGGATAGAAATTATCTTTTTAAAAAAAACCATGCATTTTTATATAAAGATGTTTAATATCAATTAGATTTTTATAAAAAAAAATGAAATATCTAATAAAACTGGGAAAATATACAAAAAAAAAATTAGTCGCTTTTCCCTATCTTCTAAAAATTTAAATATTTACGATTTAGACAGGATTTAGGTTTTACATGCTATTTTTTAAAAGTGCGGGTCAGAATATTTCAACCGGTAATTAATTTCGCGCAAAAAATTGTTATGATAAACGATACTATCTCCCACCCCCGCTAAACCAAATATTTTAGCCCCCCCCCCCCAAAAAAAAACCCTGTAGATTTTGCTCGCAGATAACAGAAGGTTATATAACGAAATATGTAAGTCCTCGCGTAATATTCTTTTTGACTAATATCTTCTTATATAAATAGGGCTAAAATGGAGCAGTTAAACAACACTTACATCGAAAATAATTTTATTTTTAATCATATAGTATGTTATTCCCGCTCTAGGCGCGAAGCTCTATAGCCATAGGCCGAGTCAACAAATGGTATAGTATAACTTTAACAAAAAAAAAATCTTGAACAGGGCTCAAATTCTGTGCCAGAAGTAAAAATGAGACCTCTGTGAAGATTTCTCTATTATTTATTATTTCTTCTTTCCACTGTGACGTGGCCAACACCAACCCAAATCCAAACAACTTATAGGATTTTTTTTTATAAATGTTTTTAAATTTAAGTTTTTACATAAATTTATATATAGTTTTATATATTTTTTTTTATTTTTAAAAATAATGTATTTTTTAT